CTATCTTGAAATAACTGATTAAAGCCGGTGTTGACACAAGGCCTTTGCACAACAAAAGCTCAGAACAAGGTGTGTAGTGCTGGGGTCCCAGTGGCAGCTCTGTGTTCTCTGCATGTGCTGTGCAAGTGGGATGTGGGAAGCACCTGTGTGGGGGGAATTCATCCTGCTCAACCCTCTGTGTGCCCCGCAGGGCCAGGCTGGCAGTGCAGCGGGACAGGAGCACGCAGGGTTCACAGGGCATGATGTGTGGCTGATAAACAGTTCCACAGCTGTGTGATTGCATAATGATAGCCACATTCATTCACCTGCCTATCAAAAGAGATGCATTAAAGTTTGAGCTCTCTTCCCCTGGGTCCATGGAGAGACATTTGAGTGTTAGCTTATAGTCTTTAACATTCCTCCTAGCAGTGGGCTAAGTGCAGTGGGGTTAAACAGAGTCCCTTTTGCTTAGTAACCCATTAGCTAATGGGTGTGTAAGCCCATCAATTTGCTGTTTATTCCCTAACCCCATTAGGGTACACCTGCTGTGCATAAAAAATACACCTGACAAATCAGAGTGATAGTTGAAATAAAATAAATATCAAGTGTTGTTATAGCTGATCCATAGTGTTTAAGGCAGAAAGGGCATAACAGTGATTTGTGATGGCAGAACAAAATAGCTCGTGCTGGCTCATGGTAGCTGGAGCAGGTTGATATAAATCCCCCTGCCATCACCTGTAGGCTGCAGAGCTCAGCTGCCTCTTTGCCCAGCCCCAGGGGCCCCTCCAGAGGGCTGCAGTTCACCTTCAAACGCCAGCTCCCAGCGCCTTCTGCAGAGCCACAGCGCTGCTAAGTGATAAATTAATTATTTGGGGGAGGGAGGGTGAGAGCTCACAGGCTGCTCTCCTGCAAAGGCAGCCAGAAGCTTCAAATCTGTCTCCAGTACCAGGCCATTTGTTTTGTCACTTCATGGGCTTTATTTATTTATTTATCTCGCAGCTCACCCTGTGATTAAAACTGTTGAAACAGCTGTTGGCTGGTAGCAACTTCCCTGTTGCTGTTTGCTGCCGTCAGTCAGGGGCTGAGGCAGTGATGGGCCAGGGGCAGGAGCATTCCCAGCCACCCCTGTCCCCATCCCTGCAGGTCCCCAGCAGCCCCACTGCACAAGGAGCAACTCCAGCAACGGACCTGGGGAACTTGCTGCCAAAAAGTGTTACTGAAATGGAGGTATGGTCAGAAAATTGATTAAAACTGGGATTTTATTTTATAAAAAAAAAGAGCACCATCACCACTGACTGGGGAGGCTGATGACAGAAGATGAGCAAGGTGGCTCAAGGTGGTTGATCCAGTGTAGAAAACTCCCTGGGGCAAATGAATGGGCTTTGAATGAGCCAGGGTTGGGCTTTCTGGAGAGGAGCTGGATGCCCTCTGCCACCAGGGTGCTGAGCAGCCAGGCCAGGGAGGGCAGGTGAGAACACACAGGCAGAGGATTATTAATATCTGGGGTAGCAGAGAATGGAGAAGCCTTGCAATCTCTGTGATGGGGAAATTTGCCCAGAAAACCTCTCAGGAAAGCTGAGAAGCAGGTCTGGGGACAAGGTGTAACCTCAGATGTGCAGGGGGCTGTGACCACAAACACTTCTGCTGTTGAAGAAAGCAAATGTAGAGGCTTTCTACAGTCCCGCAGGGCTGGCAGTGCTGGCTGAGGCAGGGCCACTGATGGCTGCTAAACCCACAGCTGGGCAAGCTGAAAAGCTCAACTTGTGGCTAAAAACAAAAAGAGGGTGAGTGAGAAACAGAGACCAGGTCATCCCAGCCCTGCAGTGGAGCCAGTGAATTGCCAAAAGTCTCAGATTGTGTTAAGGTGATGGAGAGAGAGTTTTGGGTTGCCTGAACTAGATTGCAAGTGCTGCTGATGCACCAAGGAGCAGTGATAAAATGAACAAAGCAAGTCATTGCTCTTGGCTTGCATTATCCACAGGCTCTGGCATTTTCCAGCTGAGTGCCTTCCTCTGCCTGCCTGGCCCACTGCTGCTCTCACTCCTACATCATGAGTGTCGAGGAGTGTATCCTTCATAACATCCCCATCACAGAGAGAATCCTTTTTAAATGCTTGGGGAGATGGAGGGCTACAAACCCTGGGAAATCAGCTATACCTAATATATTATGTAGAAGTTCTGTAATCATTATTGAACTAAAGTGCATTGAGTAAGTGGATAAAATCAGTCCCACTGTAGCATAAGTCTCCAGAGATCACAGATAAAAATGCCTCGCACTTAAGCAGAAAAAGGTAACAAAATATTTCCAGTCCCAGCAACAGCATTTTCCCCTCTATATAAATAGGGAACCCTCAGGAGAAGGCAATGATGCAGCAGAGGTTGAAGGCAAAGTTAATGGTGGCGAGGTGGGGGAGTGAGGCAGTGCCTGGGGCAGGCAGGGTGAGCAGTGTGAGCAGAGATCCCTGGAAAGGGGCAGGAGGCAGAGCCCAGCCCTGGGCAGCGCCCTGCAAAGCTGGGGGGGCACAGTGTGGGTCTGGCACAGAGTGGAAATGGAATTTTTGTGCTCCCTTTTTCTCTGGACTCTGCAGAAAAGTCAAGTTTTATGACCTGGGTCACCTCTGGAGTTTCCCACCCAAGCACAGGCAGGGGCACAAACACTGCTGCTTTTTTGTGCCTCCTGTGCTCAGGTCTGCCCTGAGCTGCTGCCCCCCTACAGGGAGCCACAGAGGCATCCTCAGTGGGGAATTTATCCTGAGTTATCCTCAGCCACATAACTGAGCCACCTTGAGAGCTTGTGCAGACCTACAGCATCATCAGCCCTTCCCTTTTCATGCATTTGGCCAAAAGCTGCCAGGCTGCAGGGAATCACCATGGCACGGTGAGACTCTTGCAAACCTGCTAAAACTTTTGTAAGGGCTCACAGTACAAGATACATTTTAACAGAATGAATGCGGGAACATTAGGGATTCATATTATTTAATTTAAAAAAAGGAACAATTTCATTCCCTTATACAAAGCAGAGTTAAGTTGGACTGGCCCATATAGAACATAATTTATGATATGTTTCAGGAAAGCATTAAATGGTCATCTAAATATTTTTTTCATTGAGTTCTTCAGGGGTACATACACATTAGTGATGAAGTTTGGGCTTTTCATTGAAAATAATGGGGAAAATTTGTGTTAGGCCACAAATTGTATTGTTGTATTTGCTATTCCTATTGTAGGCCCATATTAAAAATCCACCTAAAACTGCAGTCCCCACTGTTAGGCTGTGGCCTGGGTAGTCACTGGCACTCATGCTCTGGAATTACTGTATATAAGTTTTCTAAGCTGTGTGCTTTTTCTCATGGCTGCCAATCAATTGGAGCAGTGCCATAAGCTCTGGTCTGGCTCTGTCCTCAAGGGCACCAAGGGGAGGAAGAGTGAAGAGGGCTGTGCAGTTGGAGCTATTACTTATTTATCTGAAATATTGACCCAACCTCTGCTGCTGAAATATCAGCATTAGCTGCTGGGGAAAAGGGATGCCAGAGCCAGCACCTGCTGGGAAGCAGAGGAAACAGAGATGTCAAATGGGGCCCAAATAGTCATTATTTCATGGAGACAATGGTGCTGGGACAGGCAGGAGTTGGCAAATGACAGGAGGGTGTGAGTACAACGGGTGGGTGGACAAGGAGGCAGTGACCAGCTGACCAAGAATCTCAAGGAACTCAGTGTCAGGTGCTCAGCACCTCTGAGATGTGGCCTTATTGTACTTAGTGGGCTTTCAATATTCCCTGTTGGGATCTGCACATTTGTGTTAGTGCAATGATATTGTGGGTGTGAAGGGAGAAGGAGTGAGTAGCAAGTGATGCTTCTGTAATGCTGCTGCGGATGGGGAATGTGGTTTTTGCTGAAACACTTCCCAAAGCTTCTGTCCTGTGGAATTGAAGGAGTCTGGAGCCAGAGTTGGGGGCCAGGGACTCTGTGGGAGGCTGCAGCCCATCTGTGGATATTTGTGAGAGAACTGGGGAGCAAGGGGCAGTAAACAGGAAGGAGCTCAGGAAATCAAGTGAATAACATCAAATTCAGCTGCCTCATGGCATGGAGAAGATGCAGGGGCTGTGGTGCTAAGGAGGGTTACATAAATGATTACACAACATGACTGTGCAAAAATCTCTCCTTTTTCTAAAAACTACTGGAGTGGATCTGCTCACATTTAAGAGATACCCAACACTTCACATTGCACGAAGCCACTTCCAGCTGCTTATGTTTTAGCAACTTCTTTTTTTCACAGTAAATATTAATTTAAACTGAAGCACCCAGTATTCCTATTCCTTCCAGGGAACCTTGCTGGTGCTTTCTCTGTGTGACAGAGAAATTAAATGCCAGCATGTCAGCCCTCCATATGCCAGAGGTGAAGTTCCTCTTGTCAGAGGGGTACAGAGTGAAACAGAAGGCCTGGAACCAATCTAGCAGCTGATGGATTTGTCATTTAGGAAGGGTAGAAGAATGGAAACCCTTTTAGGAGCCTCCTTCATGGTCAAGGAGCTCAGCAAAGGCAGATGCAGTTCCTGGAGCAGTCACTGGACACCTGGATGTGCTGCCATTGACTGAAATGGCAGATAAAAACCCCAACTCCCTGGCTCTGTGGCACAGGGCAGGATTTGCTTGGTGCTCCATGATCACTGGGTTTAGAGAGAGACAGCTCTTGCAACTGAGCATCTAAAGCTAAACATGCCCCCGAAATCCACTAGAAAAAATGTGTTGGTCCTACAGGCAAACAATGCTCTGAAACAATGGAAATAATGAGATTAACAGGATGAACATTCAGCATTCTGAGGGAGGATCCTTTGAAATCCATTAGAGACAGAGGGAAAGGCAATTCAGTGCACCAGCATCCACCACATTTCACTGTGTAATTCCATGAATTTCTGTCTCTCCTTAATTTCAGGAAGACAATTCAGTAGCCTCTGGCTTCTATATTCTTTTTTTTTCTCATCTACTGACTAGCAGAGGCAGAAAAATAAACACACAACTAGGAGCTGTATTCACAGACAGGAAGTAACTTTAATTAAATATTGTGAAAGTTGAAAAGTTTTTACAGCTTGAATTTCTGCAAAAAAATTATAACAATCTCTACAGTAGTTAGTTTCTCTAACAATAGAACTGTACAGTGTGTGTGTCTATTCAAAAAGATTTAGATAAGAAGGTGAAAGGTTAGTAGTTTCAGAGATGACTTCATTTTAGCTGCATCCTAGTACAACTGTGAGGAAATAGGCATTACTTTATGCAATCCAGTCATTGTGAAGCTTCACCTTGTTAAAACTGAAATCTGAATGTTTCCACTTAAAGCCATATTCTGTAAACAGCTGCATCTTTTACTTTGTAAAAGACAAAGGGTGGTGCAGGGGAGATTTTTGACAAATTCCCATTCAACAGATCACGATAAATAGCTGCAAAAGAATGGAATTATGCACATTGTCAAAGGCTCTTTGGACACTGGAGTAGAGACTACAAATGTGGCTAAAGTGGTGTCAGAACTGCTAGGACTGAGTGGAGCTCTACAAGAGTAATCAACGGTGTCACTGGACAAAATATGGCTTTAAATTTGATTACATTGTCGTGCTGTTGCTTATTATGTGAATTAGAATAATCACTTGGAATACAGAGAAGCAATAAACTGATGTCTCTCACATTTTTTTCCAGTTTTCTCTTCTTTTATTTTCTCACCATGAAAAAAAAAAATTCCTGTTTTTCTTTCCCTTCCCCCCAAAGATCACACTGTGACATTCTAGTGAAAACCATTGCAAAATTCATACAGGAAGCATGCACAGTTGCAGCATCGTTGTAAATGATTTCTTGCTCGACTAGAAAAAAGTTATATTGTTTTAAGGTAACAAAACAGTTCTTTTGTGCTTTTCAATTCCTTTTTTTTTTCTTAGAATGTTAGTGATGATTGACAGTTCTGGTGCACAGTACAATGTACAAGTGAAATGAATATGATTTGCATTGTTAAGGCATCCAATCTGCTGGTTTATATTTATGTGAAAGACAGAGAAATATACAAGCAGACTTAAGAAAGAAAGTATTTTCATTGAGTTCTATGAAGTTTCTCCCCATATTTAATGCACAAAAATGCGTCACTCCAAAGAGGAGAAATCCCATGCATATTAATAGAGTAAAACAGCATTAGTTTTTGTTAAGCCTCAAAAGCAAAGGATACATTTTTTTTAAATCTACATAACTAAATGCTACAAGAATAATATGCTACTTTTTGCCATATATTGGAAAAAACTTCTTAACTTACAAATAATACAAAAATAGACAATGGCTTTTGGGTGGAAATTAAAAAAAAATGGAAGCATGGTTTTAAACAATACTAAAAAAAACAATCCTATAAATGAAATGTATTAAAATCACATTTAAACAGCTAATACAACGGTGAATGACCAAACAAATCAGCACTTTTCACATAGCAAACATACACAATAAAATAAACTTGTGGGGGACAAAAAGCAATGTACAAATTCCAAAGATAAATACATTATTTATATGGATATTTTACAAAATCCCCCGTAAAACAAACAAACAAAAAACAGAAACAAAAAGCTTTTTTTTTCTTTAATTAATTTGCAAGTATGTGCAAGCTAAAGGTAGTGAGCTCTTTTTGCAAAATATGCAGTAAAATTCTTTTTTTTTTCTTTTTTGTGATATTGAAAAACTGTCTTAAGACATTAAAATGTATAAATAGAACAACAACTTTGGCAAAAAATCACAAAAAATCTACAGTATTTATAACTACATACAAAACACAACAGCAAAGAAAAAATATCAGGTAATGCATCTTCAGAGCTTTGCTGCCTCTTTGACTAATAATTTTTAAGAACACTTCCCAGATAATGATAGCAAAACTTTTGGTGGTGAAACAGAAGCTATGGTTTGGATGGGAAAGCCCCAGCCCACAGGGATGGTTCCCCAGTGGAAAGCAGATCCCTGTGCTGGAGGGAGCGCGGTGCGAACCGAGGGTCGGCTGATACAGGAACGGCGCCAGTGGGAGCTGGGCCGGGGG